GCACACAGACTGGCGTTTCGAGAATGCTGGCAGCGCATGCCAAAGTCAACAGAGCATACCGCTCTGCGGCAGCCGCCGAACGGTCGAGTCCGGGCACCACCCCAAAGAAGCCAAGATCACTAGAGGTGGCAATGCCCCAACCAGCATGTTGGTACCACGTAAGATCCTTGGCCGCGGGGGCCTGTAGAGCACTCCCATCAGTAGCGACGAGAAAAGCTCCATAGACCACCCGAGCTTGCGACAAAGCCAAAAGCAGCTCTTCAGAGACATCAGGAAGATGCCAGGCAGGGGACCGGAGTCCTTTCAGAACAGGAACAAGGAGGCGGTGCTCAGCCTGAGAGCGAAGAGCGCCAGGAAAGGGGTCCACAGGACACTCAAAAGTAACGTGTGTCCTCGTGGGCTGCGCATCACCACAAGAACAAGCGTGAAAAGGCAGGCCCATCCGGCACAATGTGCGTGTGTCATTGAGAAAGCCCGGCGGTGCAGTAGGCTGCGACACGAAATCCAAACTTACCCCTAAAGATTTGAGATATCGTGAATCCAGGCCCATATTCCGACGCCCAGCGCCTAAAGCACCAGGCCCTAAACTTGAAATGGATCGTTCCATCAGAAAACCCACCTCTCTGGTTGTTGGGGGAATGGGCTATAGGGACTGCTACAAGGGACCGTAGGCGACTATCATAGGGATCCACTCCCTTATTCCCTTTTACGAGCCAGAAAGCCCACAGCCGAACCGTATACCCTAAACCTTCCAATCCTAAAGCCCCAAACTCTAAACCCCCAAACCCTCAAGCAATAAACCCTGATCATATGCTCAGGAGTGTGAGCTGCTGTGCGAGGCCGATGCCCTGAACCTTGGCTCACAGCCAAGAAGGTTTGATATAGGGGCCTGAACATTTAGGGTTTGGGGTTTAGGGTTTAGGGTTAATTGGAAGATGGCTTGGGGTTGTTACTGTAGTCTCAACACAAGAAGTAACCCTAAGGAATAATTTCTCGGTGTCCCTTTTTATATTCATACTATAGTGATCACTGAAACCGTGTTGGAAATATTCAGGCCCATGTATTAGGCCTCAGTCACTTTAGGGTTTCGTCCCACGCCCAGATCCTAAATCGATCGGGGTTTGATGGTTCTTGGGTTTTTGTCAGTACATGCTCTACTAAGCCCGGAAATCTCCGGACCCTAAACCCTGAACCAACCCTAAACCCTACGCCCTAAACCCTAAACCCTAACAAGCCGGTTCGGGCGTCGGTTTCAAGTTTGGAATCTCGACTCAGGTGTGATGCGGCTGTCGTCTCTGGCCAGGACTCGCAACTCTGCGAGGCGCGACATCCCAAAACGCTAAGCCCCACATAATAGTAATAGTACTAGAAACAGTAACAGTAATAGAAAGACTATCTGTAATACGAACATTATTAGAATGTTCATGTTGGCAGAGTTTTCCGAACTTTAGCATTCCGGGTTTGGGGAGTCGTGGGCTCTTTTGGATGTTGCGTTGAGAGGCTCAGTATTGCGAGTGTAGAGTCCAGGCAGCCAGCGCCCGAACCGCTCGTAACCGTAACAAGCCCTAAACCCCAAACCCTAAAGCCCTAAACCTTAAACCCTAAAGCCCTAAACCCCAAACCCTGAACCCTAAACTCCAAAATGAACCCAGCCGCCCTGTAGAGGACAATTCCTAGACGATTGGAGTCTCCCGGCCCCAAAAGAGGCCCTAAAACCAACAAAAACCGCAACCACGATAATATAGAGAGTACCCTAAACCCGCGTTTTATAATCCCCGAACCCCTCCATACCCAGAGCCTAAACATTCCTCCTAACATCCCAGAAGCCCTAAAGCCCTACACCCCTGAACTCCAAAAGCCTTAGAAGCCCTAAAGCCCTTTCAGCATAGCCCGTACAGAAAGGATCCCCTAAAAGGAGCCCCAAATGCATAAACCCTTACGGAAAGGATCCCCTCAAAGGAGCCCCAAAAGGATAGCCCTTAGAGAAAGGATCCCCCAAAAAAGGAGCCCCCTAGAAGCAGGTCCGTGGCAAAGACGCTGCTGGTGGAGTGCCCACACCCGAAGGATCGCTGCAGCCGGCCTACAGCCTTTTGTCATCAAGGTTTGCCTTTTTGGGTTTCGGGGTTCCCTAAACCCTAAACCCTAAACCGTTTAGGGTCTAGGGATCAAGGTTTGCTTTTATTTGGTGTCGGGGCTTAGCCTTTCAGGATTCCTTGGTTTATGGGGGGTCATGGAGTGCCGCTTATCATCAAGGCTTGCAATTTTTTTAAAATGAGTTTCGGGGTTTAGCTCTGATTATGAGTTGTTGGGTTTAGGGGTTATTAATGGAGTTCTAGGCTTTGGGGTAGTAGGGGGTTAGGGCTGAAGAGACTCAAGGGTTTAGGGCTCAGGATCTAGAGTCAGTAGGGTCTTCAACATGTACCACTTACCGAATGCACTCTTCACAGGATTTAGGGTTTTAGCAGTTTAGGTCATAGGTTGTTTTTCTTTCAGCCAAGCTCTCAGGGTTCAGGGTTTCTCGTTGCTTTATGTTGGGAGGACTGGAAAAAAAGGTTTGGGAGGTAAGGTTCAGGGCTCAACACTTCGAAACGAAGGTCTCCATGATTGTCCATGGTACGAGGACTTTGTTTGAAAGTGAAGGCATCATAAACACCCCTCTAAGCCAGACTCGCCTGAACCATATATAAACCTCCTTGCTTCTCCTGAACCCCAAACCTCCTTCCATCGACTGATGCTCAGCTCAGGTGCCGGTCATGCCGCAGCGCGGGAGGCGGAGAGCAAGTCTGCCAGCAGTTCCGAGAAAGCCTGGCTGCGCTGGGGTCGGCCACAGCGCACCGTTTCTCAGGGACTGGGTGGGTAACCTTTGACGTTTTTGAGTTTGTGTAGCCCTACAGTCGTTACAGGTTTACCGTTTTTGGGCTACCGTGCTCAGCCCCCGAAGGTTTTGCTGATGACCTATGCATCTGGTGAGATATTCCAGAAGACGCAGAGGTTGATGGACGAGAGCCTTCACATAGCTGAAATCGTGGACCATTTGAAGTTCAACGAGTCCGAATGGGAGTCGGGAGAGCGTTTTGATTGGTACCACAAACATGCAGCTGGGTGAGAATGGGGGTTTCTTGAAGTTCGGCTTCCTTGTGGGGTCGTTATACAAAGGATCCTCTTGTTCGGCTTCTGTATTGCGGTCTCTTGCTTCCTGAAGCTTCCATTTTGAACTTTATTCTGACCAGTTCATCACAAAAAATGTCCGACATGTTCATGCTCCGAGCTCCTGAGTGAGGCCCCAAACTGAACATACTGTTGATAGTATACATCTTGCATTACCTTAAGGACCCTAAACTTTGGGAATTATTGATATTGTATATTCCTTATTATGGGGAGTGCAGGGTTTATGTCATCAACCGTAGGGATTTGTACAAGTACACTTTTGCAGAACTCCGGTTTTTCAGGTGGCCCAGCAGCCCTGAAAGAAAGCCTTCTGCTCTAGGTGCCTCCATGGGGCCCTCTGGGTTTAGGGTTTAGGGTTTTAGGGTTTAGGGCTTCAGGGTTTAGGGTTTAGGGTTTTAGGGTGATAGGGCTTCAATGTTTAGGGTTTAGGGCTCTAAGGCACCTCTAAACCCCTTGCGCGGACTTGACTCAGGACGATGTAAACTTTCCACGCGGCGGCGCTTGGAAACCTTATCTGATATGGCAGGCTTTTCGCCAGGTGAAGTGGGGAGACTGGCTCGACCCTTGGCCCCTGTTTGAACCGTTTAGGGTTTAGGGTCCAGGTTAGGGTTTTGATGGATGTATGTAGGCTCTGGGAAGGTTGTTGGCTGCATGTGGGTCTTGTAATGGCGAGACCACTTTGAAACAATCCTAAACCCTAAACCCCAACTTTACACTCTAAACCCTAAACCCCAAAGATTGAATCCTACACCCTAAACCCTAAACTCTAAACCCCAAACTTTGAATCTTAACGCCTAAACCCTAAACCCCAAACCTTAAGCCCTAAACCCTCCACATCCGAAGACCTCAGCCCTGGACCCCAGGCGCTAAATCCCCAAAGCCTGTCCCCATCTCCTGATCCCTAGGGTTTAGGGTTTAAGGTTTAGGGTTTAGCGTTTAAGGTTTTGAAGGTTTAGGGTTTGGGGTTTAGGTTTCTAGGCTCCCCAGAGTACCCTTTTGCTCTCTTTGTTTTGGGCCTACTTATGTTAGGAAGAAGGGCACCCAGAATGTTAAGGGGCTTCTGGGGAACGTAGCTAAACATCCCTGAATTGCAGATCTACCACGACTCCTCGCGGTACTACAGCCAGGGCTTCAGCAGCACCCGGCCGGCACTGTCAGAATCTAAGGGGCTCCTTTGCATGTTTACTGCTTTCTTGACCTCCCATGATGCTTTAGGAACCCTAAACCCTGCAGAAAGGGCTACCGTGGGGCCTGCGTTTGCAAAAAGGCAGGTCTAGCGGTAGCGCAGGCGTTCATCGTCTTTTATCATGGTTCGATTGTTTGTCAATGGTTCCATCATCTGTTACAAGCTGTGGTTAAATGGTTCTGTCGTTTTGAAACAATACAGTTGTTTATAAACAGGGGTGGTATGTATGAGCAGGGCTGGTGTCTATAAACAACAGTATTGGGATTGCTTGGGTTGGGGGGGGGGGGGGGGG